CTTTCTTTCTTTCTTTCTTTCTTTCTTTCTTTCTTTCTTTCTTTCTTCTCTCTCTCTCTCACCCCTCTCCCCATCAGCCTTCATTCCCTCTCGCTCCAGGCACCTTACTCACAAAGGGAAATGAATCCAGCATTGGAGAAGTTCTACAGGTTAACGGACTTGCATTTGCAGCTCCTGCAAACTTCCCCATGGCTGGATTTCCACCCCACCCCACCCCAGCATTCTTTTCCTCTCGCTCCAGGCACTTTACTCACAAGGGGAAGTGATACTTCTAGTGTCCATGAAGAATCCAGCCTTGGAACAGTTTTTCAGGTTAACAGACCGCTGCTCCGCCCACAGTCATGTGTTTTCAAGTGGCTGCTTGAAAATGCATGGCTAGGGCGGGGGAGCAGACCTCCTTTAAATTGGGGCGAGCGAGCATCGGGCGGGCAGGGCAAGCGAGTGAGCGGAAACCAGGCGACTGGGTTGTGGGCGTGGCCAGCTAGATGTTGCTACCGGTTTGGTGACCCACGCCAAATTCTTGCTACCGGTTCGCCTGAATACCACCTCTGGATATTACCCTTCTTGGTTTTTTAAAATTAAAAGACTTATTTCAGCTTGCTACAACCCATGACTTGATTTTGAAAGTAGCAGGTGCTTCAGTTCAGACGCAGCTGTTACGCACAGCAGGTAAATATTTTGTGGTTGGAGGCTACACTTTTTCAGGGATGCACTAATACTACTAGAGAGGTTGGGTTTTAAACTTCAGCACTTCTTCAGAAAGATACACAGAATTGGTTCTGGACATAAATATACCCCCCCCCCCAAATTAATCAATTTCCTATGGATTCAGGGGAAAGATGTAAGGGGGTTTTATAGGCCACAAAATCTTGGCTGGAGGAAGTTATCGAAATCTGCAGGCCATATATAGGTGGGTTATATTTGGATTCACTGCTGTCATTAGAAAGAGAGAGATTGGTAAATGTGCTCAAATCTTCATTTAATCTATAGTCCTAAAGCCTCTCCTTAGCCAAAGCTCACAAAGGTTCCCATGCCTTTAGATTCATTTGAACATTGCCCAGACCTTGAGAAGCCAGCAAACTCCATCCTTGACTCCTTCCATGATCTTCATGAATTTTTAACTAATTCCAGTAGTTTTATTTTTGAAATAGTTTTAGAGCTTCTCCCAACATTATTCACAGACCTGTGATGAACACAATGGGATCTTTGTAAAGCCCATGAATATTATTACGAAATCTTCAAATAGTTTGTAAGGTGATGAGAGAAAGGTAGAAGAAAGGTGACACTTTTAGGTTAAAAAAAAGAGAGATACGTCTGCTAGGGAAGTTCCTTGAGCATTGATGTATAAACCTGAACATTTCTTGGGCTGGGGAAGAGGTGTAATACCTGGTATGGAGATCTCTTCTGTGTGGGCAGAAAAATACTAAGATCTGTTTTTGACAACTAGAATTTTAGGCTTCATTAGGGAGCAAGGATATGAGGAGATGAAGAAGAACCTGGAGACCCCTTGACTAGGAATTATTTATTTATTAAATTTATGTGCCACCCATCTCATCAAGATGGAGATTATGGAGTAAAGCAGGAAGTGGTCAAGTAGGGTTTTTTGCTTGAACAGGGGCTTAGACTAGAAGATCTCCAAGGTCCCTTCCAACTCTGTTATTCTGTTCTGTTCTGTCCTTGGAGAGGCTGGAGTGATGATTGTAGACTGAGTATAAAGAAGTTTTAAAAAACAAGTACCTGATTCTTTGTTTTGATGGCTTTGGAATGCTGACAGTGAACAGATTCATTTTTCTAAAGTTGTATTTACCTTTTTGGCAACAGTATGAAAACCAGGCTCTTATGTTTGGAAAGTGGGGAACCAGAGGGCTTGTTGGACGTCACAAGTTTTCTGATGTCACAGGAAAAATCAAATTGAAACGAGAGTATTTTTTGCCTCCCAAAGGATGGGAGTGGGAAGACGACTGGTTCGTTGATCCTGAAAGAAGGTCAGGTTTTGGCTTGGATTATTCTCATAAAATGGTGGGGAGGGGGAGTTTATGTAATTTCCATTGGAGGAAATCTCATAAATTTAGCAGGAAGACAGGAAAATGCTAACTTCTGTTGCAAAGCAGTTCTATTAAGATCTCCTGCAGAAACCTGCTTATGCCAAGGGAACTTCCTTAAGTTATGAACGTTGAGAAAAAGGGCTGATGGCTGCAAGCTCGTGATACTTCTGGAGAAACCAACCAGGCAATATTGTATATTATTAACTATGCTTTTTCAAGGGCCTCCCAAAGATTTTTGGAGGCAAATTTAAGGACCTTGTCTGAAACCAAGGAATGTAACTTGGCTAACAGGCCAGTCTTACTGAAATCTCAGCTATCAGCAGATGGGAGGAAGGATTGCATTTTCTCAATAAGCAGTTTAATAGCGTTTTTTTTTTTTACTTTTTAATCTATTTACTTTCAGTCATTATGTAATCTATGATAAGATAGAAGATAAGTGGCAGCTAGGTGCATACCTCCAGTTTTGAGGCACACTCCTGAGTCTTGCACAGATTCTGTATGACAACATGCCTACTTTTATCAACTGTACTGGAATTACTCCTTGGTATAGGTAGTCCTCAACTTACAACAATTTGTTTAGTGATCATTCAAAGTTAAAACGACACTGGAAAAGTGACTTGTGACTGTTTGTCACACTTACAAGCTTTCCAGTATCCCCGTCATCTTGTGATAAAAAATTCAGATGCTTGGCAACTAGTTCATATTTATGACCGTTGCTCTGTCCCAAGATCATGTGATTACGTTTTGCAAAGTCAATAGGGAACCAGATTCATTTTACAACTGACTTAGTTACTAACTTAGCGACTGCAATGATTCACTTAACAACTGAGGCAAGTAAAGTCGTAAAATGGGGCATAATTCACTTAACAAATGTCTCACATAACAACATTGAGCTCAATTGTGGTTGTAAGTGGAAGGCCACCTGTAATAGAAGATGTAGAACTGGGTGTCAAACTCACGTAGACACGGCGGTGTCATGTGACGTATCGGGACTTTCCCCCCCTTCGCTAAACCAGGCATGGGTGTGGCCAGCGCGTGACGCATCTGGCTCACGGGCTGGGAGTTTGACAGCCCTGTTCTATTCTAAAGCAAAGAAACACATAATTTTCCTCCCAGTAGGTGGAGCTGTATGTCACCAATGTCTGCATCATATCTTACTAAGCTGCAGATTTATTTATTGTTGTTATTACCAAAAAAGTTCTGAAAAACTAAACATATCTACAATAGCTTTATATTAATTAAAAATAGATAATATAAATATTTTTTTAAACCATGGTAAAGGCCTTTTTAAAAAGAACTGTGCCCTCAGGTTTATACTATAAGAGAGTGTCTTTTGTTGAACATCCCTTGTTATCTAATGGTTTGAAGTCTTCCTTCTGGCTCCACAGCTTGCTGACAGAAGCAGATGCTGGCCATACTGAATTCACTGATGAAGTATATCAAAATGAGAGCCGTTATCCTGGAGGAGAATGGAAAGCAGCTGAAGATCAATATACAGATGTGGTAAGAGCTGCTTCTAGTGGCTTAGCAATATTAAGTGCTGTAGATTTTTTTCCAGGTATGGGTGACTTAATGTTTTGCGTGTGTGCGTGTGTGTGTGTGTGTGTGTGTGTGCGAGAGAGAGACAGAGAGAGACAGAGAGAGACAGACAGACAGACAGACAGACTGTCTGTCTGACTGACTGACTGACTGCAGCCAGTTGATGAAGATCTGCCTGGAACTGCAATCTGCAATTTCTTTCCAATCCCATAAGAGCCATGGTGGCACAGTGGTTAGAATGCAGCATTGCAGGCTAATTCTGCTGACTGCCAACTGCCAGCAGTTCGAGTCTCACTGGCTCAAGGTTGGCTCAGCTTTCCATCCATCCGAGGTGGGTAAAATGAGGATCCAGATTGTTGGAGGCAATATGGTGACTCTGTGAATTGTTTAGAGAGGGCTGTAAAGCACTGTGACGTGGCATATAAGTCTAAATGCTATTGCTACAAGACCTCATTAGGTCTAAGCTATAAACAAAGTTTCATCTAATACTAAATCATAATATGGTTTATTCTTAGCATACTGAACTGAACTGTATTTGTGTTCATTAAATCATGTTTAACATCCTGTCTATGCCATGGAAGTACTGCAGGTAAGGTTGGGTCAATTCTCAGCCCATACTTGTCTGCTAGATTATACAGAGGAGAATTGGTGGAGAAAATGTTGTCTTGAGGGAAAGACATTTGTTTTTATTATTATTTCTGTGCAAAACAAAATTTAAATTGCAATGTGCAAGCAAACTAAAATGTGCATCACTGAGTTGTAAAATGAATTGTGAATCCAGAATTCAAGTTTGCACCATTTAAAAAGTTGCATTTAACTATATTGCTAGCTTACAACTGTTGGATCCTAGTTTGCTGCTTCCAATTGTACAACAGGAAGAATCAAATAGAAAACAACCGGTCTTAATCTTGCTAGTCTAGCGCATCAAACCACTCAATGGTATTATAGTGCTTCAAAGGTTTAGACATTTCTTGGGACATAAATTTGCAGAGTGCAGACTCATTTTGTTCTGATAATAAAACTAGTGGTCTTTCGGGTACTCTACTTTGTAATGAGTTATTATGAAATGTAGGGGCATCCCCAAATAATAAAAAATCAAGACGTTGACCCATCTACAAGATTGAAATTTTTAATGTGCATTATGTGGAAAAAATGGGACAAACTTTTGATATGCAGTTGCAGCTACTATCTTGATTTTTTTAAAACCTCCCTTGAGCACCTCTGATTATATGCACATATATCATTCTGCTAATTGTGAACATAATTCTCAGTATGCTTCTTTCTATGTTTCAAAGAATGGAGAAAAAGCACCCCCACCAGGTGAAATATCATGTCCTCCTGGCTGGATATGGGACGATGAAGCTTGGATATATGACATCAACAGAGCAGTGGATGAAAAAGGCAAGTATTAGAACTTGCAGCCTGCTTTTTATTTCAAATGTGAATGTAACAAGTCTTATGAATGTTGGCTTATAAGAAAAAGATGATAAAATGTTGGCGAACTGTAGGCTGTGAATCACAGATTTCAGTAGCTACCATATTGACTATGGAAGGAGAGTCCGGTTTTAATGGCCAATATGTGCATTTTTCATTTAAGGTTGGGAATATGGAATTACCATTCCTCCTGACAATAAACCAAGATCCTGGGGTGCAGCAGAAAAAATGTATCACACCCATCGAAGGCGAAGGTTGGTTAGAAAACGCAGAAAGGATCCAAACCAAACAACTGCATCAAAGGTAACACAAAGAAAATGCAGTTGACAATGAGCGTCTGTGGAAAAGAACAGAGGGAGAGGGTAGCATGTTGAAAATAGAAGTCAGAAAATAATTCTGTTTTGTCAAAGAAGTATGTTGAACGGCTTGTTATGATTGTCTTTTAGGGAGCCACATCATACGAAGATCGTGAAGGTTGGGAATTTGCATCTTTGATTGGGTGGAAGTTTCACTGGAAGCAACGTAGCTCTGATACTTTCCGCCGCAGACGCTGGAGAAGAAAAATGGCTCCTTCAGATACACATGGGGCAGCTGCCATCTTTAAACTTGAAGGAGCTCTTGTAAGTAGGAATAATTTGCCTTGCCTATTATCACTTAATGATCACCTTGAGAATAACTGATAATTTAAAAAGTGTACTTAAATGTGACCTAGGCAAGCGGATAAAAAGTGACACCAGGGGTGGGATGCTATCAGTTCTGCCCAGTTCTAAAGAACCGGTAGCTCTGTAGAGAAGCAGACACCAAACTGGTTCTGTGTTTGCTGCTATTTGGCCCACCCGCCTGCCCAGGCTCTTACCTGTCCTTTATTTCCTGCTTTTTCAACCTCAGCTGCTTTGTGCAGCACAGCTGAGGTTGAGAAAGCAGGAAAAAAGAGGCTTTTCAAACACTGTGCACCTGTGCACAGCGCTTTTCAGCTGTCTTGGCAGCTCAGCCGATGTTTTTTTTACACACAAAACGTAGTCATTGAACCACTAGTAACACCAGTTGAATCCCATCCCTGAGTGGCATCCTCAATTCTTTTTTCCCTTGTCACAATCCTAACAATCTCCCCTACTGCAGATGCTGTTTAATATAGCAAGAAAGTAAAATGTTTAAAAATATGTCCACCAAATGTTGGAAATGTAATCAGATGCCAGGTACCTATTATCATATGTGGTGGACATGTTTGAAGGCAAGAAAATACTGGAGAAAAATACATACATGGTTGGAAAAGATAACTAAGTAGCATATAGATTTAAAGCCATAAATATTCCTATTAGGTGTAATACCAGAAAGCTACGATAAAGGGACTATATACTTAATGCTTCACGTATTAACAGCAGTGAGAATTGTATTGGAAAAATGAGAATACTCCATCAGACGAAAACAGGAAAATATTGGGCTGTGCAGAGATGGATAGATTGACATTGAAAATAAAAGTTAAAGGAGATACAGAGTATTACTCAACATGGAATAAGTTTTATCAATGGCTAGATATAAGAGGTAGAAGTTAGATGAAGAAAGATTATTGTTTTGTGCATGTAAAAGATGAACGTTGTCTAAGACTATAAACATGCTAGTGCAATGAACATGATCATAAATTAATTAATATAACTATAAATATTGCTATAATTACTATATATATATATATTATTATTATCACTATCAGTATACCTATTGCTTTTTTGGCAAAATGAAATGCCTGGACAATACACTGTTTTCAAAATATTTATATATAAATAAAAAATACTATAAAAAAATATAGCAAGAAAATGTTCTAAGCAGGGCAATTGTTCAGTGAGTTGCACCTGATTTTATGACTGTTTTTGCCACAGTCATTAAGTGAGTCGCTGTGGTTAGGTGAATTTTACAGTCTTTAAGAAAACCCAACTTCCCCCACCTCCAGTTTATTTTGCATGTAAACAGTTGGCCGGGAAAGTCACAAATGGCAATCATTTGAGTCCAGGACGCTACAACTGTCATAATAAATACAAGCTGGTGGATTATATAACTATGGGGAAATGCTATGGTGGTTGAAAGTGTAAGGACTGGTCATATGTCCTTTTTTTTAGTGCCATTAAAACTTCAAACAGTTGCTATACGAATAGATGTAAGTCAAGGATGACCTCTACTGCATTGTGGTTTTGGGATTTAATAGTCTGCAGCAGATAATGTACAGTCAGAGAGAAATACAGAAATTCTTAAAATGCCTTTTCCCCCCTCACTTTGGGGGGAGGGGTAGGAAATGCTGCAACAAGACTGTGGATATCATTGGTTTGAAACAGTATCTAAAGATGTTTTTCTGTTCTGAGAAGTAAATTTTTCTTCCCCGTTTCATTGGGACAAGAAGTTATTATTCATTAGAAGAGAATTATATGCTGACTTGATTTTGTTTTAAATCCCATTTCCAGGAAATGTGATCCATTAAATCAGGTCTTCAGTGACATAATTAATTTTAAGAATCCTTATACCTAAGAATGGATGGCTGTGTTTGCCTCCTCTCCTTTCCTTTCCCATTTTTCTTTTCATGTTGGGTTTTTATTTGATAAGCCTGATAACAAAGACCATTTTGAACCTATGGGTTTAAGCTAAGTGCTTTATAAACATTGAATAATTATATACTCTTAGGGAGCAGATTTGAGTACTGAAGATGGAGACCACACTTCTGAAAAGTCCACAGATTCAGCAGCAGATTTATTTGGTGCAAACACTCCAACTGTTTCTTGCAACTTTGACAGTAAGTCAGTTTAAATTGTTTATTCAAAGTGATGGGATCCCTTGGTTTTCTCACAGCTGCTCTTTTATTGTAGTTGACATGCAGTATAAACTCAAGCTGGCGAATATATCTAATATTCTCTTTAGCGTCACCTGAGCCCTTTCCTGCCAAGAAAGGAGACAAACGCAAAACTGATGTAAGGCACCCCCAAAATGCAAATATCGCCCCACACTCCAGGTCAAATTGCTCTCAATGGGTAATGCACAAAAAGGAATAAAATGAAGTGAGAATAGGAAGAAATCCACATCATTAATTCTTTAATGTCATTCAGTGTTCAGAGGCCAGTCTGTTTCTTGGATTAGTAGAAATGTATTGCTCCACTTTAACTAAAATTTAGTTAATAATCAATTTGACCATAGAATACAGCTGTATTTCACATTATTATTTCAAAATAAACCCTGATAGAAATTATAAAGAAAGGTCAATTTCCATTTATTTGATCAGTCAAGGAAACTAGTCCAAAATGTGGGTATAACCCATATGACTATTCCTATGCTTATTAAAATTGTACCATGTTTCCATTCCACTTTCGATCCTATTCATAGAAATTGTCCTAGTTGGCTATTTCTTTCAACTCTCTGGAAACCTACAATCCAAAGATTTTGCAGGCAGTTAAAACTTATATTAGAAATAACAAATGCAATTAGCTGTTCTCCAGTGTTTTTCCGAATGCCAAATGTTGATATAGCATACTGTTGGACCAGATTGATCCATTTATTTGTGGCAATAACAGATGAAGAGAATGATTGAAACATTCATCAATCTTTAGCCTAACCACATAATAATTACTATACAATCAATAAATCAATAGACCAATAAATGCTAAACAATGATTAGAAATTGGAAATTATTGACAACTATACCAAAGGTGCCTTTTTCAAGAGGCAACTGGACTTTCTGGTTTTTCTTTGAAGATGTTTCATTTCTCATCCAAGAAGCTTCTTCAGCTCTAACTGGATGGTGGGGAATGGAAGGATTTATACTCCTTGCAGACAGCTGGTCATTTGCATCCTTTTAGCAAGTCATTAAGGTGACTTGGAGATTTATCTGTGTACTCAGGGTCACCTGAGTGGTGCAAATGGATGTGGAGTCTTCTTGGAACTGTTGAAAGGGCCTATGTTGTAGATTGGAGAAGGATGATGTCGTATCCCACCTCTTCTGTTGAGAGAAGGCAGTTCGGTTTTGACATAGATGGCCTCTTTGACCCCTCTTTCAAACCAGTGGTTCTCACTGTCCAAAATGTGGATTTTGCTCCTTTCAACAATTTCAGTAAGGCTCCACACCAATTTGCACCACTCAGATTTACTATTTTAGTATTTATAGTATTTATTTGATTTGTCAATCGCTTACAAGATACAGGTATAAGAATAAATATAGTTTTGAATACATGAGATAGATACTTATAAGAAAAATAAAAAACAATAGGACAGGAATGGTAGGCACGATTAGTGCGCTTATGCACGCCCCCTACAGGTCTCTTAGGAAGGGGGTGAGGTCAATAGTAGACAGTCTAAGATTAAAGTTTTGGGGGTTTGGGGAAGAAACCACAGAGTCAGGTAGAGTATTCCAAACATTGACCACTCTGTTGCTGAAGTTGTATTTTCTGCAGTCAAGTTTGGTGCGGTTAACCTTGAGTTTGTATCTATTGTGTGCTCTTGTATTGTTATGATTGAAGCTGAAGTATTCATTTGCAGGTAGGACATTGCAATTTATGATTTTATATACTATATTTAGATCGGACCAGAGGCGGCGTAGTTCTAGGTTTTCTAGGTCTAGAGTTTCAAGTCTGGTGGCATAAGGTATTCTGCAATGAGTAGGGGAGTGGAGAACTTTTCTTGTGAAATATTTCTGGACTTTTTCAATTGTGTTAATATCAGATACATGATATGGGTTCCAGACTGTTGAGCTGTATTCAAGTATAGGTCTAGCAAATGTTTTGTATGCTTTAGTTAGTAGTGTGATATTACCAGAGAAGAAGCTACGTAGGATTAGATTAATGCCTTTTTGGCTATGTAGTTACAGTGGGCTCTAGCGCTTAGATGCCCCTGATGACACAGATAAACCTCCAGGTCACCTTAAAAGAATGCAAACGACCAACTGTCTGCAAGGAGTATAAATCCTTCCATTCCCCACCATCCAGCCAGAGCTGAAGAAGTTTCTTGGATGAGAAGGGAAATGTCTTCAAAGAAAAACCAGAAAGTCCAGTTGCCTCTTGAAAAAGCATCTTTGGGATAACCGTGACCTGAATGACTGAGAATCAACGTACATATTGACAGCTATAGCATATAAAATAAGATGGGGGAATGACTATAGAGAGTCATACCAAGATAGACAAAATAAAGAGAATAAGGAGGAGGAGCAAAAATAAGTGTATATGAACCGTCAGTTTTAGTCCTGCCTTAGTTACAAAATCGGCTGTGTAATCTTAGGCCATTCACTCTCTCTCAGACTTAGGAAGTAAATTGGAGGGATTTGTCAAGTTAAACACCAGGAGTCAACACTGGGTCAAAGGCACACAATATATACACACAAAGAAAAAGATTGTTTCATTTACACTGACTTGTGTTTTTGTTGTTTTAGGAGTTTTTAGTTACCACCTTCGATGTTACGTCTATCAGGCAAGAAATCTTACTGCTTTGGACAAAGACAGTTTTTCAGGTACAGAGAATGGAACCCAAGGAAGGAATACAAAGAATGTGTACCTTTTTCTGATATTTTTCTAAAACCAACAACTTGTTGAACAATGGAAATAATAACAGATAACAGATAATGAGAGTTGGAAGGGACCTTGTAGGTCATCTAGTTCAACCACGTGCCCAAGCAGGAGACTCTATACACCATTTCTGACAAATGGCAATCCAATCTCTTCTTGAAAGTCTCAAGTGATGACGCTCCCACAACTTCCGAGGGCAAGCTGTTCCATTGGTTGTTTGTTCTCACTGTTAGAAAGTTTCTCCTTATTTCCAAGTTAAATCTCTCCTTGTTCAGTTTCCATCCATTGTTTTTGTCTGACCTACAGGTGCTTTAGAAAATAGCTTGACCCCTTCCTCTCTGTGGCAGCCCCTCATATCTCCCCTGGTCCTTCTCTTCACTAGACTAGCCAAGCCCAGTTCCTGCGACCGTTCATTGTATGTTTTAGTCTCCAGTCTCCTAATCATCCTTGTTGATCTTCTCTGTACTTCTTCTAGAGTCTCAGCATCTTTTTTATAGTGTGGTGACCAAAACTGGATGCAGTACTCTAGGTGTGGTCTTATCTTAGTTTTACCTTAGCTTTATAGAGTGGTATTATATTAATTGGAGCATTTCCTGTTCAGAATGTGATGACTAACCAAAGATTTGCCTAATTATTTAATAGTTATATCTATTCATTAAAATATTTATAACCCAGTATATAACAGAAAGACTCTGGTCAAACAGTTCAAGCAATAAAAAAGAAAAAAAAAGCAATTTAAAGAAAAAAAGCAATGCATGCAAGGTCCTTCATGGAAGGACCATTTATGTACCTCAATACTACTTCACTCAAGAACAGCTCTCATAACTCTACATATGGATATCACCCATTAAAAAGATGTAAAAGAAAAACCTCCCGATAATGAATATAATGATAATGAATCAATCAGATTACTACTTCAAATATCATGGTGCAATACTTTATGGGCACCATCACTAAAGGAGCACCGCCATCCTTGAATGTTGGTTCTCTTTTGTTTTTCTTCCTTGCTAACACTATCCTATAGCCCAGTGTATCCCAACCGTAGCCATTTTAAGATGTGTGGACTTCAACTCCCAGAATACCCTAGCCAGAAGTCCTGGGGTGCAGTTGGAGAACACTGGGTTTGCCTCTTCCTCCTCATACTTAGTTTCCAATCCTTCTTTTCATAGGACTCGACCTCCTTTTGCTTGTTTTTCAGGGTTCTTCTGACTTCTTCTCCTGTTTAAGGACCAGAAGAGCTCAGGAAAAGGCAGACAAAAGATTTAGCTAATAACATTTAGCCCCAAAAAATAAAATATTAGTAGAATCACAAGGCGGAGTTAAGCTGTAATGAGGAGTATTATGCTGCATGTTATGCAATGTCTTTGTGTGTGTGTGTGTGTATTTGAAATTATAAGATGCGGTTCATGGACATTTTGAATCTGTTTGGGGTTTTTTTAAGTTTTTATTTTTGTTTTAAAAAACAAATCCATCTTTCAGTTATACAGTGTGTCGACTAGGTACATATATCTTGTGCACATGTTAATATTTTGTATACATTTCTTACTAAGTTTACTTCATATTACAACCTATTCAACATTATATATCATTGTAACTGTTTGGTTTTGGTTCAGCATATATAAAATGTCATAACATATATAATGTAATACGTATGACAATCTGCCTAGGTATCATATGTAGATTGTGTTAATCACAGCTTTAAGATTTTTCATTAGCGTTTAAAAGCTACAAATTCTCAGTTCTTTTTCAAATATCTAGGTAGTTTTCATTTAAAAGTTGCATTCTATTTCCCACACACAGAGATAAATCAGAACCCCATCTCTTTCCAAAAAGAAATAATACTATTGGAAGGAAAGAATTATTTGGATAAACATGGCCCTTGAAGTCTGTATTCACTTTATTAAGTTTCTAAATACTAAAATTAAAAATATTTATAACACTGCCGTTACATCTCTTACATAAGGAATCAGGGGGATAAACTTTAAATAATACTTAGTCATAGCAATTTGTACAGAAAATGATATTAAACCTCACCTTCTTCAGAGGTCCCTTATGATTTTAACAGTTTTTAAAAAATAATAGGCCTAAAACTCTATTCATTTGCCTCTAGTTCTGAAAAAAAAGGGAGAGAAGTAAATTACAATTTTGGAATCTTTTGGAATCATGCAATGTGGATTATTATAACTCAGTACCAAGGTTAGGGCTACTTTTATGATATGGAGGATTGTTAAGTGAAGCAGAAAGAGAGAATAGAAAAATGGAAAAACTTAACTCTAAGTGTATGTCAGTATTCCCTTGCTGTGCTCTTTCAGATCCATATGCTCATGTTTCATTCCTTCATCGAAGCAAAACAACTGAGATTATCCATTCAACACTGAACCCAACCTGGGATCAAACTATTATATTTGATGAACTTGAAATTTATGGTGATCCCCAAATGGTAGCACAAAGTCCTCCTCAGGTGGTTGTTGAACTTTTTGACAATGACCAAGTGGTAGGTACCATATCAACCTTTTTTGTCTTATTTTAGTTTAATGATGTCAGATACATGATCATTTTGTTATTTGGGATTTCAGGGCAAAGACGAATTTCTTGGAAGAACCTTTTGCTCTCCAATGGTAAAATTGAACCCAGATATTGAAATAAATCCAAAACTTCTTTGGTATCCCGTTAAGAATGGAGGCAAGGTTTGTGGAGATGTTCTTTTAGCTGCTGAGCTTATACTGAGTGAAAAGGTAATGAAAAACAAATTGACTTATTTTGACAAGATACTTTGATGAGATAATAACTTTATTTGGTCTCACTATAAGTTATATGTTATGTATCTATATCTTTCAACAGGGTGGCACCAATCTTCCAATTCTTCCTTCACAACGAGCACCAAATCTATATATGGTACCACAAGGAATTAGACCTGTTGTACAACTTACTGCAATTGAGGTATTATGACTATTGCTTATTTGTTATCCAAAGTGACGTGTTAATAAGGCATTTTGGCATACTTGCTTACAAGTGCTAGAATAAAATCTTAGTATACTTTTAATGTATAAGAAACAGCTGCCACCAAGTGTTTAGGCAACCATACCCCCCCCAAAAAAAAATCTGGATGATGTTTTATTTTTGTTATACAATATTCATCCAATGTCAGATTTGATGTCATTATTAAAAGCTTCGATGATAAATTCAAAAATTCTTATTTCATATCCATCATTAACTTGGTCTCAGATTAAAAATTATATCTCAGTCTTGCATCTAAAGACTATTGTAGTCATCCAAGAACTACCTAGGTGAACTAAGAGCTCTTTCAAAATATGTTATGGAATGCTAAATATTATGAAATGCACTTGAATTTATGAACGAAGTAACATTACATTCATGAGAATAGGTTACCCTGGGAATTAATACAATATCCTGGGAAAAGCCAATGGCAAAACATTTGCAAATTCATACCAAAAAAACCTTCATGGCTATATCCATGAAGTCAGCAGGAGTCAAGATGCAAAATGAGGGACAAAAGGAAATGTGAATGGCAAAAAATAAAATATGTTTTATTTATTTTAAGTTGAATTGTTAAATTAAATTGTTAAATTGTCCTGGTGAGTTGTCCTGTGGCGGGTTGGCTATGGCAAGTTGTCCCAGTGTGAGTTGGCCATGGTGAGTTGACCATTCCAACTCCCTTCTTTTTTTTAACATTAATTTTGCAGCAGATTATATTTATCTTCATAATGTGATGTTTTGGGACCTGTTGCTTTATTTGTTTTAATAGATCCTTGCCTGGGGATTACGGAACATGAAAAACTATCAAATGGCTTCTGTGACTTCTCCCAGTCTCATTATAGAATGTGGAGGTGTAATGGTAGAATCTGTAGTGATCAAAAACTTGAAGAGGACACCTAATTTTCCTGGATCTGTTCTCTTCATGAAAGTGGTATGATACTGCAAAGAGTTCATAGCAAAAATGTATAGCACATTTTGACTACATATTGATCATTAAAAAAATAGAACCAGTTGATACATATACACTGTATTTAATCTGTAAACTGTCCAGAGCAAAAATTTAAACATTGTAAATGAATCCTATTTTTAAGTTTGCATACAGTTTCAGTTGTAGTATGATTATACATCTCTATCCTCATTCAGAAGCAGATACATGTGGTGGAATGCTGAATTCCTATAACACAGATGTCATTATTATAAACACATACCAATGCACAGCACAAACTGGGAACATTGTAGAATATCAGGCAGTATTCAGTATATCTCCCTTCCCGACTAAATGCTTGATTGCTTCCTTTGCTAAATTCATTATCTTCCACATCTCTTCCCTGAACATAAGACAGTTTTTTGTGAACTGAAGCAAAAATCACATTCTCCCGTCTGAATATATAAAACTGTATTAATTTGATTGTAGAATGTGGACCTTAATTTTCACCAGAGAAGAAAGTCTAAATCTTTAATCTCCATGCTGTGCTCCCAATCCATATAAATGTCTTTTGCACGAATACTCAGTGGGTTAAAAAAAAAATCAAGAAAACAGCTGCAACTATGTCATAAATCTCCATCAGATTTTATACGTGTTGATATACAGTGGGACTTTGGTAGTAATTTTTAATTGGTTTCGGGAGGCACGATAAGTATCAAAAACAATGAGTGCCAAACAAAATTTTCCCATAAAGAACAATGTAGCAAATCACAAGGTGGCCAGCACCAACAAGTTCTAGCTTGTACGTTGAGTATCAAATGATGACTACTGGGACAAAATTTTGTGTTGAGTACCAAATTCGATAAGTTTCAAAGCAGTTGAGTACCAAGGTACCACTGTGCATTTAAAAATAAACATAGCTTCAATTATTTTGACTTTTTATCTTCTCCTCCCCAGATGTTGCTGTGTTATGTATTTTTGTAATTGATTTTAAATGTAGTCTGTGTAATATGTATTTTGCTTGTTTTGAACTAGCTGTTGCCCAAAGAGGAATTGTACACTCCATCACTAGTTCTTAAAGTAATAGATCACAGGCAGTTTGGCCGTAAGCCTATCGTGGGACAATGTACAATTGATTTACTGGAGAGGTTTCGCTGTGATCCTTATGCTACTAAAGAAGATATTGCACCACAGATGAAAGGTATACTTATAAAATAAACACATGTTTTTTCATTTATTTTTCTCTCAGTCTTGCTACTGTTAAGATAATCTATTGACTTTACAAAAACTCCATTGAAATATCACTTTGGTGATAGTTTAACACAATAGCCATTAACATTCATGGTTTTGAAAATGTACCAAGGATGAATAAATTACTTTCATAGCTCCTACTATAACTTTGTCCCACTTTTTAAATTCTAGCATACAGTTCTGTATTTAACTTCATTAAAAAGTTACCAGAATGTACAGACCATCCATTTCACTCCCACAATGTCCTGAGCAATTTGACTTGGCAGTTAATTCCCCCAAATACAATTCATTTAGAGCAATGTTTTTCAAATTTGGTGACTTTAAGAAGTGTGTCTATGGACATTCTCAGTCATCCAGGTCATGGTTGTCCCAAAGGTGCTTTTTCAAGAGGCAACTGGACTTCCTGGTTTTTTTCTTTGAAGACGTTTCACTTCTCATTCAAGAAACATCTTCAGCTCTGATTGGATGGTGGGGAATGGGATCCTTCCATTCCCCACCATCCAGTCAGAGCCGAAGATGTTTCTTGAATGAGAAGTGAAATGTCTTCAAAGAAAAAAAACAAGGAAGTTCAATTGCCTCTTGTTTAAGAAGTGTGGACTTTAGCTGCCAGAATTTTGGGAGATCTGGGAGTTGAAATTCATTCATTTTAAAGTTGCTAAATTTGAAAAACACTGATTTAGAAGAAGGAAGGCTATTTTCTTCCAGTTTTAATGTTCAGCAGCCCAGTTCTCTGGACTGTCCCATCTGGTAGAAACAAATAAAAGAGCAAAACATTAAGAGGAATAAAACCTGAAGTTATGACTCCTGAATGAATTACAAAACTGGCTCTTAGTGTTTCTTAGTTTAATGAATTATTTTATCTGCAGTTACTATTCTAGCAGCTGCACCTTGCCGAGATGTTGTAATTGAAGTGGAAGATGCCCAACCCTTACTCACTTCACAGGTAAACTTCTTGTTTACATACATCTTTCTGTGGCCAGTTCTTTTGTTTTTTGGCATGCAAATCTTACCAGACAATTTATCCATAATAATTGTTAAAAGCTAATATGTTCTCTTATGTAACCAGCATGTATATCAATCACTCTGTGTTTTTCCATGGTTTTTGTCTGGGTAGATCAGGTTTCCCTATTTGGTGCTCTTCAGATGTGTTTGATTTCTTCAGTCAGTATGATGATACTCTGATGGGGTCTTATGGGAAGTGAAGACCGACATATTTGGAGATCATCAGCTAGGGAGGGTTGATATAAATTATTGCCTGTCTTCTGTGTGGCTGCAGTTCATGAGTTGTCTGCCAATAATCTTAGATTATATCTGCTCTCCAGTGAATAGACTGATAAATTGAACTGGTAGTTTGAAGGCTTATCTTCTGAAATCATCATCTAAATTTGGTTAAATGGGGGAGCACTCTCCCTGTCAGGTACCATTGGAAAAAATAACAGCTGCATGACAAAATGATTTGGGTGAAATGGCACAGCAATAAATTTAAAATTGACATAGCTATTCAACCTTCAAACATATTTTCGATCAGTATCCTTCCTATTTCTGTAAAATAATCACTATTTAAATACAATTAGTTAGATAATTGCTGGGTTATCACAAATAGATATGAGACTAACCACTGATACTAAAGGGGCTATTTTAGTTTGTGCAGCTAAATGATGAAAATATTTAACATTAGATATTTAATTCAGAAATGTCAACATTTAAATTCAGTGACTTATTCATTTTCTCTCTGTAATTGCAGGGTTTTAAAACTGTATTCTTCTTGCTTTAAGAATTCCTCTCCCCATCCTATTCAATCTGTGATAAGAGAGTCAGTTGCAGTATATTGTTACTACTAATTTTATTTATTCCTTCATTTATTTCTTAAATTTGTTTGCCACCCATTTTGCCACAATGGCAAATAAGAGTAGAAGAGTACTAGAATTAAGCTGTATAGAGATAAACTCCAATATTTTTTGTGGTAATTTTTAGGGGGGAAAGCCAGATATATTCAGGTAGTCCTCAACTTATGACCACAATTGAGCTCAAAATTTCTGTTGTTAAGTGAGACATTTGTTAAGTAAGTTTTGCTCCATTTTACAACCTTTCTTGTCACAGTTGTTAAGTGAATCACTGCAGTTAATAGGTCAGTAACATGATTGTTAAGTGAATCTAGCTTTCCCTTTGATCGTGCTTGTTAGAAGATCGCAAAAGGGGATCACATCTCCTTGGGACAGAGCAATGGTCATAAGTATGAACCAGTTGCCAAGTACCTGAATTTTGATTACATGATCATGGGGAGGCTGCAAAGGTCGTAAAATAGTCATAAGCCACTTTTTTCAGTGCTGTTGTAACTTTGGTCACTAAATGAACTGTCATAAGTTGAGGACTGCCTGTACTATATCTTATATACTAAATCAGATGTTTGCATATATTGCATACTGAGTAAAAAGATGCTAAGTTCAACTCATGGCACCTCAAACTACAGGGATTACAGGAGAGCAACTGAAAAGATTCCTAATTAAATTTCTGTTCAACCCCTACCAGTCAGAACAGTGATACTTGTAAAGAAATTCAATAGGCCAAAGTGATGTTAGAGATTAACTACAGAAGGGCATCTGTGTGCATGCTTAGAATAATGTATTACGTATAGGATACCTGAAATAATTAAAGACCAGTTAGTAAGCTATAGTGCCTTTTTAAAATAAAATGATCACTTTAAGGCGCTTCAAGAAAGCATAAGAATTAAATAATTTATTAAATTTTGAAGGCCAATGTACATTATTGAGTTCCTTTTGGTGATAACCATTGATGATACAACTTTACACCAGTAGGTCTGCATAATCTTTGCACTATAATTCTAACAATTAATAGCAATTGTAACGATAAATTTTCTCTAGATGTGCAGCTTCAGGCACAAGGCAAATTGACCAAATAAATATCATTAATGGTTATATTTTGGTATATGGAATATTTTGATTGATATCTAGCCATCAGCACATGGAATTAAGACATGGTAAACATATTTAAGCATAAAGGGAGGTTTAAATCTAATTTTGTACAGTGTATTAGTTTATCTGGAGCTGAACATTCCTTTAAAGATGCAGCATTCTAATTTTTACTGGAACAGAATGGAAAATAAAGACTTCTTAGAACAAATGATATGCAGATCTCAGATTAGTATGACAGATGCAGAACTTTCACGATCTGCATTCCAATTTCTAGTGCATAAGCAGTATGTCAGCTGCACTCAGCAAAATGGCTTCTCCAAGCACAGTACATGTATGTATAGATGGGAAAAAATGCATGGGGATTATTCACCTTCGATGCTTTTATTATTGAGCTTTCATGCCACTTTTCAATATTTCACAGAGGGAGGTTTTGGAGAAAAACAAAAGTTTCAGTTCAAAACTTTGAGGCAGTTGAAAACTACATCTTTCACTGGGAATGGGAAAAGTTGTTTTCACGCAGATGTGTTGCCACTAACATGTGGCATCTGATTGGCTTGCTAACAGTAAAACATTATGTGTGCATCCTCAAAAATGAATCCAATGAATTCAGAGGAATAGACTCCAGTCTAAATGGCCATAGGATTTGCAGTCAATCAAAATAAAATTGCATTGCTTGATATGACCGATTTTTTTTTCTGCCACTGGAGAACAAAATTTGGTAGTGATTACTTTTACATGCTTTCTCCAAAATCTCAAAGCACTAAGTATGTAATAAATTGATGAAACAACTTTCAGGGGACAGTGATTGCTTATGGGTTCTATCATCAACTGGGTTCCTACTTAGAAATTGTAATTTTATCTTGCTGTGAAAGCCGATTTAAAGACTTTCAGCATAATGTATGAAAATAATACTTATTATAAGAAATAATTTACAGAAGATCCTTTTTTGGTAAAAACTATAAAACTCAGCCTAGCCATCCTCATAGGGGTTTTGTTATAGTAGGGAAAAACGGATGACATAAAAGCAGGATATAAAATACATACATACATATATACATAATATATTCTATTCCACTTTCTGTTCATGTGGAAAAATTGAGTCATTCTTTATCACTCTCCATGAGGCAGAATTCCTGCCTTGTCTGAAGGCAACAGGCAAGCTTAAGGGCATAGGGCAAGCGCAAGCTACTTATTATGCTCCTAACTCTAGTCCTCTTTCAAAGAAGCAGATGGTCCATTCTTAATTTCTTGACATTCCTAAACAAATCAATCAATCATCTGATTCTTGGGCTAATCCAGAAGTGTCCTGGAAATAATTTCAAGACATGATTCCTCTTTATGTTTATTTAATAAGATTTATGGAATTATAATACCTCTGGTGGATCTGAATGAACTTCTTCACTAATTAAAGACACGGGCAATGTTCAGAGAAAAATAAAGCACATTATTTGAAAATATAACTGTAATCCAAAACCACATTTTGTTTTCTATAATATTGTATCAAATGCAGATGTTTGGTTTTATTTTAATTGTTCTGTTTTGGTTTTCCCCACCGATCCACCCCGGATATGTTTTCATGATCAGCTCACTGAAAAGGTAATTGAAGCACATCTATGTCATTGGAATTATTGATGTTATATGCATTAATTTTAGCATGCACGAATTTAATATGCACTACTTAATTGAAAAAAAGCTGCCAGAGTCCCTTTATTTGAGAAATAACTTTATAGGTCCAAAGGATTTAGAAGCTTCTTTGTGAAAAATAATGGAACTGAGTTAATTGAATACGACCCCAAGAATGTATGCTATGGTATAATGTATATTATAATGGTTTATTTTTCACAAAAAGGCTTCTAACCCTAAATCTAACCTTAACTCTGTATCTCTTTGAACAGAAAGAGGCTTAAATCAATGGAAGAGGAAGGGATTTGGGGTGTGGCTTAAGGAATTGTAACCTAATATGGCAGAAAGAAATGAATTTGAGGAAATTAAGTGTACAGTATAGCTAAAATAATTATCCTAAAGATTGTTATTGCTTCCTTTTAGTTTTTAATTTTTTATTCCTTAGGAAAAAGAAGTTGTGGACTGGTGGAGCAAATTTTATGCTTCAATAGGTGATACTGAAAAATGTGGACAGTACCTTCAGAAAGGATATGGTACATTGAAGGTATATATTTTATGGATGAGATTAGCATTGGCTTCCAAGTTTAAAAAAATAACAATGTTTAAAAATGACTAGGTTTTAGATCAATACCTTTGTTCGCCCAATTCATCCTATCTAGAAAAAAAAATGTAGTAGAGACCTTTTTTTTAAAAAAAAAAACAAGTTTTATTAAAAGTTTCAACAACAAACAAATCATTACATATTAAATCTTTTCCTGTCTTTCTACAAAAATTTCCCCAATATTCTCATAAAACACAAACAAACACAAACAAACATAAAAAAATCTTTTAGTAAAGTACCTTGGCCCCAGTTACCTCTCTTTGCATGGGCAGCGCATATCACTCTTCACAATTCTATCTTATTTAATCCATCTTAATTAAATCATTAAATTTATATCTTTTGCCCATTCATTATCCCTCTATCTCTTCTTATAATAGAAGAGAAAGAATTTCTCCTGAAATCACTAATCAGAGTATGATGCCTTTCTATCTTCCCCCTAAGTTAGTAAAATTAACATTCAACATAACAAATACCCAATTTGGTTCTGCTTGGTACATTCTATCCACCAAAAATGTTTAAATACATTGTATCCTCCTTTCCTTCAATATTTTATTACATTTTAAAAATCAATCATTATTAAAAACTTCAACATTTTAATTTCTTATTAAATCTTAAACCATTCTAATTTACTATTTCAAATATAAATGTTACAATACCATCTTCTGTACCTAGCAGAATCTTTCTTACAGAAGTTTATATTTCATCCTTTGTCCCTAAAAAAAATTCCTCTTCTCCCATCCAATTTTAAAACTTTGAGGCTTTTCTCCGCCTTTCCCCTTTCTTTCTTCCCCCACCAAATCTTCCTACCCCCCCTTCTTCTTCTAACCTCTACCTTGCTGGGATCCCTTCTCTGTTGTGTTCCCTTTTTCTCTTGTTTGCTATCATTATATTTACTTTGCATCATATTTTTCTCTTTCTCAAATGTTTTTTTAGATCTTAAGTCCTTCATTTTCCTTGCTCTCTTCCTTCCTTCTTCCTTAGATAAGTTTTGGGATTCAATAAAGATGGCGTCTTCGTCTCTTCCTTGTTGTTCTTCTTCTGTTTCCATCTGTTCCATTGTCTGTTGGTAATTGACCAGCGCCATTTCTAGAAATAGAAAAGCTTTTTCCATGCCATCTTTGCAGGCTGCTTTTGTCTGCTCATATTCATCCCTCAGGTCTTCAAAAAGGAAAGCCATTATAAATAAATCTTTTCTTTTCTTTATTCCTCTTTCTTCTTACACCAACCAAATATTCCGAGAGAAAGGTAAAACAATCCCAAAATCCACAATCCTCAATAAATCCAAGCAAGCCAAAATTCCCCCTTCCTCTTCCAGGGGTGGTATCAAACAAATAAAAAAAAAAAAGAGTCCAAATCTATATTTTAAAGCCTTATTAAAATTATATTTCTGTCCTCAAATCTTCAAGGCATCTCCTCCAACAAGATCCAAATTTATATATTTTCTTTATCCTCTCCCTTCCGGCTTAATTCCATCGGGAGGGAGAGTAAACTTTCCTTTCAGCACCTCAAAATAGCCGCTTTTTTTTCTCTTGTGGAAAAAGTCATCAAAAAACCATCTTTTCCAGGAATTAAATTAGATAAATCTCAAAGCCCTGGGTCGACCAAGAAGAACTTTCACTTTCAATAACTTTCTCTTCTTCCTCCTGCGCATACTTGCCTGGCTGCCGACTTCTTTGTGGCGGCCATTACGGACCGCCGCTGCACCGTCCTGGTAAAAGGGGGTTCTGCCGGCCAGGGAGGGGGTCTGCAACACCCCCAGACCCTTCCTCCGGATCCCCCTTACCTTCAGCTACCCCTGCAGGGCAGCCTTGCTCCGCACCCGTCCGGGTCGGAGCCCCAAAACGGCTAGCGCGGCAGGGATCGCGCAGCTTCGCGAATCCCTACCGCTCGCGAAGCCGACAAACTGGAAATTCAAATGTAGTAGAGACCTTATATCAAGGCTGTCAAACTCCCAGCCCGTGGGCTGGATGAGTCACAAGCTGGCCACGCCCATGCCCGGTTTAGTGAAGGGGAAAAAACGTCCCAATACGTCATGTGATGACACCATGATGATGTGAGTTTGACACCACTGCCTTATATTTATTATGATAATCTTCAGCATTACAATGCTGTTATTTGTTTGTTTTTATTTCGGGGTGGTACTTTTATGCTTTCAAGTCATTGTTGACTCCTGGACAAGTCCCTGCAGTTTTCTTCACAAACTTTTTCAGAAATGGTTTGGCATTGCTTGCTTCTAAGGCCTAGTCACCTAACTAGCTTTGTGCTTACAGTGAGTCTTGTGGTTTCCAGCTTGGTGCCTTAACCACTAGACCAAAATGGCTCTTTATGCTATTGCTCACTAATTTATTGTTTGAATAATGTGGTTTTTTTTTACCATTATCGAAAATTATTTCATAAATACAATTAAATATTTTCCCCACATCATTATATTTGTTTGAAGATGGGAATATTTTTCCTTATTTTAAATTTCTCAGCATCTGTCACTGACATATACGCCACAGTTCTTTTAACCCTTAACCCTTTTAATTGTGGCACCTCACTTTTGTTTGTAGGTTTATAACTGTGAACTGGAGAATGTACCTGACTTTAGGGGTTTAACAGACTTCTGTGATACTTTCAAACTATATCGAGGTAAAAACGAAGAAAATGATGACCCTACGGTTGCAGGAGAATTTAAGGTACAATGAAAACAACAAATATATTTGCAATAGAAAGTGGGATACATTGATTTTGTCTCTCTTCACAAGTCCACTGAGAATGCAGTCAAACTAAACAGTGCAATTATTCCGTATTTGCTCATGAACAGATTTGTGAAAAGAAAAGAAAAAACCTGAAGCAGAGGAAAGACATGATGGGTATAAATGATCAACATTATTGGGCCAATAGTAAAACTACTTTTTTGAGGAATGGCTCTTTCTGGAAAGACAAAGAGAAAATGGGATGTGTGTGTGAAATGATTGCATTATGTGTACGATGTTGATCCATTCTCCCATGATCTTATTTATGTTTTTAGTTTTATTTCATGGATATTTTAGCCTTCATTTAAATATTTGTTTTACTGTATACCATGCAGAGTCACATTATATGAGAAGGATAGCTATAAGAGAGAGAGAGAGAGAGAAAGAGAGAGAGATGAATATGGATGGATGGGTGGGTGGGTGGGTAGGTAGATGGTGGGGGAGAGAGAGAGAGAGAACAGGTAGATACAAGAAGCTTCAGAGAGAGAAAGGGAGAAAGCAAACAACATGACTTGCAGTTTATCCCTGATTTCCGCCACAATGCATTCATATTCTTGTCAGATTGTCTCAAGGGAACAAGTGTAGCAGCAGTCCACAGGATGAATGGCTGGAAGTTTCAAATATTCAGTCTCAGAAATGTTCTGAGATTATATACCCTGGCCCAATCTCCTACTCATGAATAGTTGTTTGATAGTTATTGCTGTCACCCCATATTTTTCCTTGGCATCCTCATTCCTAACTTAGTCGATGAAAGAAACAGAACCTGTATTATCCTTCTGGCATATAAAGGATAATGAAATTTTAAAAAGATTTAAGTACAGTATCCTGACCCTGTAGCTTATAGGCATATGGCGAAAGATTACAGTACTTCCTGCCATTGGGAGAGAGACCAATCTTATCTGAAATAAATGAAATCAAACTTTATTTTAAAAATGCAGGCAGTATGAAATGCTATTTACCAAAATATATTCCATGTGTTAAAAGTAATGAGCCACGGTTGATTCGGTTTTCAAATTAAATTTCAGTTCACACAAAGTTAATAAAAAATGAAATAAGCTTCTTTAGAACAATTAGATATTCCATTAAATGTTCTTTTTGTGCAACTAAATAAAAACATGGGGCAAAAAGTTTTAACTACAACACACACACACACACACACACACACACACACACACACACACACACATAAATGGAAATCAAATGCTAACATTGTATTCTGGCTAAACTGGCTTATTTATTGGCTATTTCTTTTTAAATAAAATCATATCAAGCAAAATCCTCTGAAATTTATACCAGATAGCTAACAGAATTATTGGGAGATATTATCCCAAATACAACTTCATCTTCCATTTCTGAGGAATTAGATAAAATTTATTAAATCTACCATAAAGGAAAGATATCGGGAAAAACTGTTTCACACATGTGATAGAGTATCTATCCTTCAAATGTTGATTGAAACATTGGCTATCAAATGAATATAGAGTTTTCATTGCACACACTTGTTACAGTATCAGTCAAGACAATGAGAGTTATCCAAATATGTTTAAATTAATATTTCTAAAGTACTTTCTTAATGCAAAATGTTAATCAAAACAAGTTCTCATTTGTAGTCAGAACAATACAAATAGATCAAGTCAAATTTTGCAAACAAATACTTTTTAATGAAAATAATGAAGTATGATTGTGTATTAGGGCTGGATACCATTTTAATAAATGAATAAATGAATGTGATATCGTATTTTCATACCTTCCTTGACTGTAATAAGGCTTGTTTTGGCTTATTTACTATTATTCATGTGATTTAATAGGGCTCTTTCCGGATCTACACATTACCAGATGATCCAACCGTACCACCTCCTCCTCGGCAGTTTTGTGAGTTGCCAGACAGTGGGCCTCAGGAATGCATTGTACGGATTTATGTAGTACGAGGTTTAGAGCTCCAACCTAAGGATAATAATGGACTGGTAAGTTAATAGCTCCAGCCAGTAGTACCAATTAGAGCAGTGTTTGTCAATCTCAGGAAGGTTCAGGGGAGTTGGTCCAGACATCTTAAAGCTACTGAGGTTGAGATTCAGTAGATTAAAGCATTGGGGTGCATTTACTGGTAAATAATGAGTTGGAATGTAATTGACAGGAATGAATAAATATACAGTGACATGCAGTGTTCCTAAATAAATGCGTTTCACTAAAGGTATCTTAAAACGGCATTTATTATGATCTGTCTCATAGCAATATGGAGGAAATTAATAAGATAAAGGTTCTGTATTTAAGAGCATAGCTACCTTCTCCATTTAAATGTTTGGAAATTTAGAATTTTTCTGTGACCTGAACAGCTGTGAACTTAACAGTTATAACGTATTTTTGATCAGTCTAGCAATGAATGTTAACATATTTTTTAACATTATTAACATTATTATTATTAACATTAACAACTTTTTTGTTTATTTGTTTCCAAATAGTGTGATCCTTACATTAAGATCAGCTTAGGCAAAAAAGTTGTTGAGGACAGAGATCATTACATTCCCAATACACTGAATCCAATTTTTGGCAGGTAGGTAATTAAAATATTCCTCCTTCCCTTGTAATTAGAATTTGTGTACAGAATACCAGATTGGGATCATTCTATTAAAATAGTAAAATAAATAATTGCGAATTTATTTTCATATATGAAAAAATAGATATGTGTGAGAAAGAAAGGAAATGTGATATGGTTTTCTGGTTGTTTGTTTTTCCTGTCATTTCTGTTTATTTTATCTGGAGAATATCCTTAGTTGGATTAAAACTCAGAGAATAATTGTAATAGAACAGAACAGTTCCCAAATGAGGAAAAAGCCCCTTGTTTTAAGCGTCCTTTTAATACCTGCAGAAATACTCTGAAACAGGTACTCTGGAAGTACATTTAAAGAAAGATTTTGGGAAAATTTAATTGATTTAATAGAATTATATATTCCTTACAAAACAGGTTTATCTGTACATTCTGATAACTTAAGAAATATTTTTGTAGAATCATAAAGTTTTCAAGGGATAGATAGATGGATGGATGGATGGATGGATGGATGGATGGATGGAGAGAGAAAGAAAGAAAGAAAGAAAGAAAGAAAGAAAGAAAGAAAGAAAGAAAGAAAGAAAGAAAGAAAGAAAGAAAGAAAGAAAGTATGATTTGACACACAAGGAATTTGTCTTGGTGCAGATACTCTCAGTATACACCTTGGAGGTCTTCTAATCAGGGGTTCCCAGCCTTCAGGCCGGAAACTGGGCTATGAAAACAAGCAAAGCCCCATCCGGGGAATGCAGGCAGCACATGATGAAACCATGCATCTCTCCACAGAACCTGTCCCCAGTGCCTAAAAGGTTGGGGGGAACTGTTCTAATCCAATCCCTTTCCTAAATCAGGGTGTTTTTTTTACAATTTTCCAGACAGTTGGCAGTCCAACCTTTGCTTGTAGTTGTCCAGTGGTGCAAGACCCATATCTCTAAGAAGCAAAAAGCTTTTAACTGCTTAACAACTCTCATGATCAGGAAATTCCTCCTCTTTCTGAGTTTGGATCTCCTCTGTAAAACTTCAGTTCTTGTCCTGCCTTTGGACAAGGTGTAGAATGAATATTTCCTTTCAAGTACTGGTAGACCATCAATGTTACTCTTTTGTTTTAAATAACAGCACTTCAAACTACTCAGTTGTGTGAGCAGTACTAGTAATATTTTAGCTTTGTTCATCTTTTCAATATCCCTTTTCCGGAATTGAAATTTACTAGCTATTTCTGCATTTAGGATGTATGAACTGAGCTGCTTCTTGCCTCAAGAAAAGGATTTGAAAATTTCCGTCTATGATTATGATCTGATGACTCGAGATGAAAAAGTTGGTGAAACTACAATTGATCTGGAAAACAGATTCCTCTCCCGCTTTGGATCTCATTGTGGGATACCACAACAACACTGCGTGTGAGTCTTTCCTATCCCTATTAGTCCTCCATGGGCCCTGCTAAAACCAAATTATGGGCTTAATCTTGTGGTGTAAGCCACCTGGAATGTGCATTTATCTTTCTCTTTCCCTTTATCTGTTTTTTTTTTTTTAAAGATGTGTAACATGATTGGAATTGCACTTATTTCTTTTAAACTATAACAAATATGGAAAGAATGTAGTGTATTAGCTTCTAGAATGCTTTCCAACTTAGATTCCAGTAGTGTCCTCATTTTCTTTGTCAAAACATGCTTTCTGTTTTTGTGTTGCATTCATGTATCTCTATGAATGTTACAGGTAGTCCTCCACTTACGACCATACTTGAGCCCAAAACTTATGTTGCTATGTAAGACATTTGTTATGTGAGTTTTGTCCCATTTTATGATCTTTCTTGCCACAGTTGTTAAGTGTAATCACTGCAGTTGTTAAAGTTAGTAATCTAGTGATTAAGTGAATCTGGATTCCCCATTGTTAGAGGATCACCAAAGTTGATGATATGACCCTGGGACACCACAACCACAATAAATATGAACCAGTTGCCAAAAATCTGAATTTTGATCACATGCCCATGGGGATGCTGCAACCGTTGTAAGTGTGAAAAATGGTCGTAACTCATTTTTTTTTGGTGCCATTGTGACTTTGAATGGTGACTAAACGAACTGTTGTAAGTCAAGGACTACCTATATTTACTGGGAAACCTAGTATGACCTGCATATACTCTGCTATGCATCAGATGGAAATGATGTTAGGAAAACTGACTGGTAATGTTACAAAGTTCTTCGCAAATGCCTCATCCAAAGAAATGCTGGGAGGGTTTTTTTTTTCTTCTGGAATGTTCTTCTCTGCAACTCCAAACTGAGTTTTCAAGCCTGATCTTTCTTTTGCTTTTCCCATGACACTAAAATGATCCTGTCCAGATCTGAGAACTCTCTTTTCAAAGTTATCTTATAATGTCACTGACTTGAGCCACTTTACATAATATCTTTCCATGTGACCTTTGGTGGGAACAAATAAATATGACCCACATAATCATACCCCCAAAAATCCACTTCTTTGTGAAATGACTTTTCCTACAGTTCTTTCCTACAGCTAAATGTTTACACCACAATTCTGTAAACTCAAACAGTGTTTTCCAGGGAATTTCATTTATAAACTCCTTTGGAGTTTCATTTAGAAAAGCTCCTTTGTGGGAATCATGGAAAATCTTTTTAAGTAATTCCATATATGCAACATTGCTTCTCTAAGTATCTGGAAAATGAATTTATAACAAACTAAAAACAGTTTTTAGGAGATTATTTTTTAAAAAAATTCTAATATCATTTGTCATTTTGATATTACAGCTTTTCTTTCCTTCTACGTCCCCACCTTTTTTTTCTTTGCAGGCAGTAGAATTTTACAATAATCACATCTAAGAGTAATCTAAGCATGTACAGTATGCCCAAAACTATAATGCATTTTTTCCAAAATGTGTTTTGTTTTCTATAAAGGTCAGGTATCAATACTTGGAGAGATCAATTAAAGCCAACACAACTTTTGCAAAATCTTGCCAGAGTTAAAGGCCATCGTACTCCAGTCCTCTCTGAAAATGGAAAAAGAATTAGTTTTGGAGGAAGGGACTATACTTTGGAAGAATTTGGTAAATCCTTGTCTATTTACTGAGTGTTACTGATTCATATTTGCCAAATTTATCTCCATTATGCTTTTAACTGTATAGACCATAGGGTTGCATTTATGGGTAGTCCTTGTTTAGCAGTCACAAATGAGACCAGTAACTTGGTTGTTAAGTGAAGTGGTCGCATAACCAAAGTCAAAGTTTCATTTTTTTTCCATCACAAGCACAAAATCCAGAAGTGATATCCAAATAAAAAACATAAATATGTTCTCCTCTTTGAATAGAACAATCAATTTAACCATTTCTGCTCTATCTTCCTTGCTAAAGGAAGTTGCTAAATAAGGACATTGCTAAACAACTCTCCATATATAAGAGGTGGTGATTTGGGATGCCAGCTCAGCAATGCTCAATGGACTTTTCTCTTGTACACTAGGAAAAAGTGGGGGGAAAATGTTCAAATAAAATGTGAGGGGTCCTTGGTGGTCTCTCAGCTTGTTTTCTTGCAGACATTTCATTACCCAAACTAAATAACTAGTGTATCATCATCAGTGTGAGTATCAGTGTAAGTATCATCAGTGCTAGTAAGAAGTGTGGTTTGCTGTCAGTTTATATTGTAGTGCCTTGCCCTGTCAGTGTTGGTGGGAATGGTCTTAGAGATTCTTTGGTTGGGCTGTTTTCTGTTGGCTTCTTTGCCACTATATAGAAGAAACAGGCAGAAGACTGGCAGAACACATCCATGGACACCAACTAGCAGTCAGAAGACACGATGCAAACGTTTTAATTTCACAACATATAGACAAACTTAACCTTAGTTTCAGTTGGAAAAAGGTGACCATCCTAGAGCAAGCCAAAACCAAAAACGCCAGGGGATTTCTAGAAGCCTGGCATTCTGGCAAATTAGCTATCAATAGACACATGGGCATTAACAACTTCTATAGACTATGCAAAAGAGACAATCAACAAGCCATAAAGGGAACAAAAAGACCTAAGCACTTCTCCACCAGCAATCAACAGTCAGATCAGCATAGAGATTAACATCAGACCAACAATCAAGTAAATAATAACCCAATCAAGAAACTGCCAAAGAAGTCAACAGTAAACAGGCCAACCAAAGAATCTCTAAGAGATTCACCAACACTGACATGGCAAGCCACTAGAATATAAACTAACAGAATAGAATTCTTTTTAGAATAGAATAGAATTCTTTATTGGCCAAGTGTGGTTGGACACACAAGGAATTTGTCTTGGTGCAGATACTCTCAGTATACATAAAAGAAAAGATAAATTCATCAAGAGTCGAGAATCATAAGGTACAACACTTAATGATAGTCATAGGGTACAATAAGCAATCAAATCATACTAGGAAACAGTCAATATAAATCGTAAGGATACAAGCGACAAAGTTACAGTCACACAGTCACAAGTGGGAGGGGATGTGTAACAGTAATAGTAGTGCAGACTTTGTAAATAGTTGAACAGTGTTGAAGGAATTATTTGTTTAGCAGAGTGATGGCTTTTGGGGAAAAACTGTTCTTGTGTCTAGTTGTTCTGGTGTGCAATGCTCTATAGCGTCGTTTTGAGGGTAGGAGTTGAAACAGTTTATGTCCGGGATGTGAGGGGTCTGTAAATATTTTCACAGCCCTCTTTTTGACTTGTCCAGTATACAGGTCCTCGATTGAAGGCAGGTTGGTAGTAATTATTTTTTCTGCAGTCCTATAATAAATAAAGAATCTCTAAGAGATTCACCAACACTGACAGGGCAAGCCACTAGAATATAAACTAACAGCAAGCCGCACTTCTTACTACTGTAGCACTGATGATGTTACCTAGTTTGGGTAATGAAACATCTGCAAGAAAACAAGCAAGCTCAGAGAGCATCAAGGACCCCCCGTTTCAACCCTGACCTACAAATGTTTTCCTTTATTGGTATTATTACATAAAATGTGTCAAAAATTTGAATCCCATATATTTTAGATTTAAGGCACCACATGTAGATATATTCTGAAACCAATATGTAGATGTAATGGTATGTGAGAAAAACCTTGAGAGACAGCAAGGAAAGGATTACTAGGGAAGGGTCAAGTAAGAGAGGGCATAGCCCACAGCTGTATAATGGGTGGACAAAGAGAATCAGAAGGGATCCTCCCTAGCTTTCCAGGCATTTAAGGAGATAGCAGGAGATTTGTACTTTCAGACTTGCAAGATTCTGTAAATGTACCCTTACAATAAAGTAGAATTTGCTCACCTGATCGTGTTTCCTGTCTGGTCTATTTAGAAAGGTTGGCAGCTGATAGGCATGCCTACTTTCAGTGCTCTGTGTAGTGAGTTTTTTGTGATTTTCACGGTTTTCTTTCACTTGATTTCAGAGGTAAACAAAATATTGCACGAGCATCTGGGACCTGGAGAAGAAAGGCTGGCTCTTCACATTCTCAGAACTCAGGGCTTGGTGCCAGAGCATGTGGAAACCAGAACCCTGTACAGTACCTTCCAACCCAATATTCCTCAGGTATTCCCTCCCAAAAATTCTTTTCTTTCTAAGTTCATGAGATGCAGATCCGAGGAAAAAGCTAGATACAAAATGATTCCTACAATAGAGTTAGGTACCTTTCTACTCTTGCATCCACCTTTTGTCAGTAATTCTATAGGGGATATGATCTTTTTTTTAAGGGATATTCAGGTGTATGTCTAGGAAAAGCCCATTATGAATCGCAACATGTGAATGAAATTAAATAAACATCCGTAACATAGTCTCCTACCCTGTGATTTTTCTGATGAAGCTGACTACATAATACTTGATACTCCATGTTGCATTATCATTGCTTTGTTTCATCCAGCCAGGGAGACCTGCATTGGCAGGTAATATGCACACACCTTGTAATACTATTTTTGTAAAATAATTCTTACGGTGAAATATCACACACGCAATAAAAATAATAGTAGAAATATGTCATCCTAATCAGATGGTCATTATGGGAAGTACCTTGTGAAGGATGCTTCTGACAGTTAAAGTGAGTGCAATTTCAAAGCAATCCTACTGTGCAATATTATGACTTGCTGTTATGGGTCAGAGTCCAAAGGGCTGTTCTGCGTATGTCCTGTGAATGGTCTTCTTTTCATAGAAGTGCGGTGTCCCACTCTGTTGCAAAACGCTTTTGAAAAACCCATTAGTTTTAATCATAGTTTGTTCTTTGAATTTAAAAGAATTAGGTGGAGCTTCAATCCAGCACAATCCAGCCAAATGTGACCAGGGCATGCAGAGTGAATTCTTATGGGGTTTTGCATCCAGGTCATGTCATCAAATTAGAATACTGCTAGGTTAAGAGATGGGTTTTCTTGTCTTCTTTATTTAAGATAACGCCTGACATGATTATTATCTTATTGATACAGGGGAAGCTTCAGATGTGGGTGGATGTTTTTCCCAAAAGCTTGGGCCCACCAGGTCCTCCTTTTAACATCACTCCTCGCAAGGCTAAAAAGTGAGTAAGCTCAGCTGAAGTTTGTAGCATGATATTTCGTGGCCCAGAAATATTGATCCCTTCAAATCGTTTCCAGGTGAATGAGAAGTTCACCTTGCAGTCTGTTCTCTTCTGTTTCCCCTTGTCACCATCAGTGAACTCAGATGGAAGCGAACACAAGAGTATTAAGCCTTCATTATTTCCATATCTTGCATTGCAGGCATGAACTACGGGTGATAATTTGGAACACCAAGGATGTCATCCTGGATGAGAAAAGCATCACAGGAGAAGAAATGAGTGACATCTATATAAAAGGGTAACAATGACTTTGGCAGGACTTGTTGAAAATAGGAAAGCATGGTTCAGTGTTATGGAACCTGGTCACTTTGGCCTGCAATCATTAAGTATTGGAATTGCAATATTCACATTCCATCATTTGGTCCATATGAAAAGCCATCCATTTGGATGCAAGGTTGTACAGTGTTTGTAGGTTAGAAAGATTAGTCCATTAATCTTGATAACTTTCAGATGTATAGACTTCAGCTCCCAGAATTCCCCTGCCAGATTGGAGAACTTGGAGTTGACGTCTACATATCTTAAAGTTGCCAGGGTTGAGAAACACTGGATGGGTCAGTTCTATGGACTACACAGCTCAATTTGCTTGCTTCTGACTTTCAGCTGGATGCCTGGCCACGAAGAGTACAAACAGAAAACGGACGTCCATTATAGGTCCCTTGATGGGGAAGGGAATTTCAACTGGAGATTTATTTTTCCTTTCGATTATTTTCCAGCAGAGCAACTCTGTACAGTTTCCAAAAAGGTATGGACCCCAAGCACAGCTCTGCAATAACCAATGCACATAAGAATGAGCACCTAAGCTTGTATCTGTTTTAATGAAATTGTGAAAACCATTGTACATAAATCTGTAGGAAGAACCATGAGGGATTTTTAGCTTGCCCTGCTTCTCTGGCTTCCTCAACCACTTCTTCATCCACAGAAGAAAATAATTCTGACTTAATATTTTTCCCTAAGGATGGAAGAGCAAGGAGATGGTATATGGGTAATTCTGAACAGGAAATAGAAAAGAAAGGAGCACAACTCTTCCCTTTGTTGTTTTTTTTCACTAAAGGCTTTCACCTTTCATGCCCATTTTTCATTTAAAACAACAACAATCAAATATGCTTGTCCCATAATGTCTTATTTGAGAGATATTACATGGTGCAAGATAATAGCCTAGAAATATAAGTCAAGTCACTTCAAGAGTGATTATGCCTATCAGTGGGCAGTCTTTCCTGTGATTGCAGCAAGCACCCATCCCACCTTTTTTATTAATTTAAAAAGTTTGGCCGCCCATCTTACCACAAGGTAACTCTGGGCAGCTTACTATATGTGTGTGTGTGTGTGTCCCACGTCATTATAGTTGTGCTTTTAAAGTTGTAGCAACGTTTCGGCAGAATCTCATCTGCCAGCATCAGGCTTCTGTATTGTGTTCGTCAGACGAACACAATACAGAAGCCTGATGCTGGCAGATGAGATTCTGCCGAAATGTTGCTACAACTTTGAAAGCACAACTATAATGATGTGGGAAAATACCCAAACAAAGCTGAATGCCATACATATATATATATACACATACATACATACATACATACATACATACATACATACATACACACACACACTTTTAATAAGTTAAAACAAGCCAAACATTGCAATACATTTAAAGATGGGGAGGCCGAGGGACCAGGATGGGGGGGGGGAGTGAGATCTATTGTTAATCAGTCACTGTGATGTTCCCTCATTGGAACCCCAAACTAGCTGGCAGAGCCAGGTCTTTAGATTCTTGTGGAAGGGCAGGGAGGGGGTGTTGAGGCTGACCTCACAATGGGGGTGGGGGGTGGGTGCAGAGGTGGCATTCAGCAGGTTCTGACCAGTTCTGGAGAACCAGTAGCGGAAATTTTGAGTAGTTCGGAGAACCATCAAATACCACCTCTGACTGGAGATTTTACAGTATCCTTCCCCTGCCACGCTCACCAAGCCACGCCCACAGAACCGGTAGTAAAAAAAATTTAATCCCACCACTAGGGGGGGCAAGATGTTCCACAGGGCAGGTGCAATGGCAGAGAAGGACCTCTCCTGAGCCCTGTCCGCCAGAATTTTTGGCTGATGGGGCCCGCAGGATGCATCCCCTGCCAGCACAGGCAGGATAGTGGGACACCTTGCTAATACTTATTTCTGTGAAACACCTTTCTCTCTTTTGTTATTGTAGCAATGACAATAGATGGAAAGTTCAATGTTTTCAGGCAAAAGTTTTCACACAAAAAAAATGAATTTCGGGGATGCAAAACATATCAGATATTGAGGACAATGAAAAACGATATTCAATTCAAAATAAAAAGGCTGAGTAAAATACAATCAAAGATTATGAAATGAGTCAGAACAACTGAACCTTTGAAATATTTTCTATGAACTACAAAGATTGGGGTTGGGGGGATGTCACAGAAAAGACCCTCTCCTCCTAATTCTTATTCTGTTTTGCATTATTTTGCCAAATGTGGCAGCAACATTACTAACTGATGCAAAGGTTAGGGATCAGATAGTGTGCTGAAAGCTTAACACAGTTCAACACAGATTGTTAGTGATTTACCAAATGCAAATCATGGAATTGCTACTAATCCCTAACAGTGGACAATTCCACACTTAAACTAGAAGGCAAAAAAAGTCACACATGGAGCAGCTATCTGCAACTCCTTAAAACAGATCTATCTTTTCCCAGGCTCATGTAGCATTGTCTCAAGTTCACAGGAGAAAAAAATAAGTTGCCAAAGATTTTTTTGTACAAGATTAACTGAATCTAGTTTATGCATATGTTCCTTGAATACGAAGTGTTTAACCAGCTTTCAGTGGTCAGAGTATCACTGGCTTCTAATGTACCCAAAGAACTGAAGCTAATTGATCTTTTTAATCTCTGTAGATTTTCTTCAGGCAGAACTGAAATGCTGTTGATAGAAAGCGTTAGATAGATGATGCTAAGAGCACTTTTGCAAAAGATGATGAGGGAAATTCATTATAAATTCCTTGCTTAGTCTCCTTCTCTTCTGATTTTGGCTCTTAGGAACACTTCTGGAGTCTTGACAATACCGAATTCAGAATTCCACCCAAGCTGCTTATTCAAATATGGGATAATGATAAATTTTCTTTAGATGATTATCTGGGTATGTATAAAGTATTTCAGGATGGGGATAGTTATGTCCTGATGTTCTGTGTGTGAGAAAATGATGTTTTCTTTCTCTGCCCTTTCTCTTTCCCTTTAGGTTTTGTTGAACTTGATTTGCACAAGGCAGTGGTGCCAGCAAAGGTTTCACAAAAGTGCAGTTTAGACATGATTCCAGAGCACAAGCCAATGAACGTGATGAAGAATGTTAAGACTGCTTCACTCTTTGAACAAAAATCCATGAGGGGGTGGTGGCCGTGCTATGTTGAAAAAGATGGTTCCCGTGTTTTGGCTGTAAGGTTCTGTTAATACTTCTTAATGCTTGGGTTTTCGTTTCGGAATGGGGCAAATCGCCATGGCCAACTTACCTCAGCTGACTTGCCATGGCTTACAGGCCATAGAACAACTCGTCACGGCCAACTCGCTACAGGACAATTCAATGTAGGACAACTCAAGAGAGGGACAAGTCTTGGTATGAGCCTTCTCAAGTTAGAAGTGCTCGGGTTCAAATCTAAAGCAAGACAAGGCCTGCTGCTACAGTTCACTTGTCTCTCTCTTGAGTTATCCCACATTGAATTGTCCCATGGCGAGTTGTTCCATGGCGATTTGGCTGCAGTGTGTTGGCTGGGGTGAGTCAACCGTGGTGAGACAATCGGGGCGAGTTGTCCTAGACCCTTTCATTTTGCTTCTCAAACTTTCACTACCCATCTTCCTTACAACAGATTTAAATTGTTTCAAAGGGGAGTGTTGCACACAATATTTAGTAAGTAAGTAATTAAGTAAATGAAAAGTTCTATACCTGGAAGCGCCTTCCATGGGATTTTTCATTTCAGTTGTCTTGAGATTTATAATTCTAAACTATTTACATAAGCTCATCATTAAATTTTGGTTTATAGAATCTGCTCCATTTCTGGTCATCCCATTTCTTTGACTCCTCCACAATAGACCCTGATAAAGGGACAGAATCCACAATTTATTTAATAACTGGTTTTTGCCCCAAATATTAAAGTAGTAGAGATTGAATTGATTATGAAGATAAATTCCAAGAAGTACCAATATGCAATGAAAATCAGTGCAACTAATGCACACAAAGCATACCCTTATGTCACAAAATCTGAATGTGATTTTTGCTTGGTGGGTTGGGGGATTTTCCTGGGGAGAATCTGGTTGTAGAATTCTGGGAATCCACACATTTTAAAGCTGCTGAAGTTGAGATTCACTCTGCACTGAATCACATTTCAGGATGGGATTGAAATCTGTTCATGTATCATTGGACATCATGAATTAAAAAAAACATTAAGCTGCAGCACTATAAAGTTGTTGATAATATTTTTATTTATTTAAAGGGTAAAGTTGAAATGACTCTGGAAGTGCTTGGTGAAAAAGACATTGAGGAACGACCAGCTGGTAAAGGAAGAGATGAACCTAATATGAACCCCAAACTAGACATGCCAAAGTAAGATATGTTCCATTTTTTATTTTAGGGTTAATATCTTGCAGATTGGCTTCTCAACATGTTGATATGATGGTTTAAGTATTGGGGATACCTTGAGAATGGCAAGTCCATGGAAACGTAAAGGTTTACAGAGAAATTACTGAGTCTATCATCTGCACCTCTATAACTGTCTGGTTTGGCTCTGCAACCCAACAGGACAGACACAGACTTCAGAAGATAATTAGAACTGCAGAAAAAACAATTGCTACCAACCTGCCTTCCATTGAGGAATTGTATGCTGCATGAGTCAAAAAGAGGGCTGTGAAAATCTACAGACCCCTTATATCCTAGACATAAATTTTCAACTTCGGCCCTCAAAACAACGCTATAGGGTGGGGGTGTCAAACTCACACTGTCACAGTGGCATCATGTGATGTATTGGGAGTTTTCCCCCTTCCCTAAACCAGGCATGGGTGTGGCCAGCATCTGGCCTGTGGGCTGAGAGTTTGACAGCGCTGCTATAGGGCATTGCACACCAGAACAACTAGACACAAGGACAATTCCACCACCCCCCATGCCATCACGCTTCCACACAACTAATTCCCACAACATTGTCAAACTATTTAGTAAGGCTGTATTACTATTATTCTTCGCATTTTTCCTATTACCAATCTCCTTTTCTACTTAGGATTATAACTTTGTTGCTTGTTTCTTTACAATTTATATTGTTTTATTTAGTTTCCTAATATGATTTATGTTGATTGCTTATTTAGTATTCTATGACTATCACTAAGTGTTGTATCTTATGATTTATGATTAATGCATTTTTATGATGACTATGATCATGATTTATCACTTATAGATTTTATGTACACTGAGGGGCTTATGCACTGAAGACAAATTCCTTGTGTGTCCAATCACATTTGGCCAATAAAGAATTCTATTCTATTCTATTCTAAAACGAGAATCATTTCAATGAGAACACATGCTTAGTTGGCTCCTAGTGGTCCAGTGGCCTTTGTTTTAATGCATAGTCTAGCCCAAAAGTTTGACTTTAATGGAGACATTGGAATTCATTTCTATATTGCACAACTTCTTAAAACTTGTAACTTGAAATATTACATTGAGATGATCATTTGATAGTCATTTCGTGCAGCACTTTCTCCTCCAATCATCAGTCTTTTCTTCAAGACAAATATGTTTAAGAGCAAGTGAATTTGTGCCTAGCACACTGTTGTGCAAACCTTACTTTTAAGAACTGTAACAGAAACAGTCGTGGACATTTGAAGATGAGAGGGATAGAAATAAACACTCTTTTTAGGCAGAAAAACTGGAAATTTGAACATTTACACAAAAATGCAAGTAGTACTCACTTACTGATCATTCATTCAGTGACCCTTTGAAGTTATAATGGTACTGAAAAAATAACTTTACAGCCCAGTTATGACCTTTTATGACTTTGCAGGGTCCATCAGTCACATAATTTTATAGTCAGTGTGTGTTGTCCTCTGCCTGACCTCTTTGTTCCTCCACCTTACAGAACAGAGAGATTGAAGAGGAGGGGGATTGCAAGAGAGTAAGCTGATTGCTCTTCTACACATCAGATGCAATGCAGCCCAATGCATCCTATGCAAACAACTTACTCTCTTAAAATTTCTTCTTCTCCAAAATCTCTGCTCTGTGATGGAGAGGGAGGAAGCAATTTCTGCAGATAGTCTCTCCTTTGCCTGATCCTTCAATCCTCCTGCTAAGAGAGGGATTTCAAGAGGATAAGATGTTTGTTCTTCTACAAACTGAGAATAATGTGATCTTACCAGTAGCAGGAAAAGGTCAGACAAAGGAGAGATTACCTATAGGTATAAGCTGCTTTTTTTCTCCCATACACCTGTGCACAGAGTGGAGAGATTGGAGAAAAGGGGATTTCAAGAGTACTATAAGTTATTTGCATAGTACACCCATATCTCCCAACCCAAAGCTTGGCGGTGGGGTTGTGTCACTGCATTGCTTTCAGTGTGTACATGGCAATAAACTGTCACTTGAACATTCCAAAGGGCAGAGGAGTAGCTAGGAGGCAAACAAAAGCCAAAAGTATAAAACTGAGTTGTCTTGTCTCTTTCCTAGCCAGAAATCACATTTGCAAACGCCCGATTTCCCATTTAGCAACTACTTCTCTTAGCGACAGAATTGCCCATGTCAATTAGGATCATTAACAGGAATTCCCTGTGCCTCTTATTACATATTATATGGCATTAATATCTACATAGGATCCTTAATCTTCAACAGATCAGTAATAGTATTCATAGTATTTATGCTAGATTCTTAAAGTTAGGATTTCTGCACACATAGTCAACCATGTAAAAGCCATGCACCAACTGGGTCTTTTTTCCTTCCACAGCCGACCAGACACGTCCTTCCTTTGGTTCACAAATCCATGCAAGACCATGAAATTCATTGTGTGGCGGAGATTTAAGTGGGTCTTCATTGGCATCATCATCCTGCTGATTGTGCTTTTATTTGTAGCAATCCTCCTATATTCCTTGCCAGTATGTATTTTCTGTTTGAATCTTTTTACTTTCAAGTTAGTTAGGTTGATAATCAGGTTATACATATGTGCACTTGACCACAGACAGACAAACATGCCTTTTGGGTTTCAATAGGCATTGATGGAAAGTTAAATGTTTTCAGTTTTACTAAGCATCGTTAAATGGATTAAAATATAAATCAATTCATTATTGCGTTAATTAGGCAATTATTTTATACATGTTCAAAGTATAAGATACTTTAGGGATTTTTTTTTCTTTTGTTCAATTGTCCTATTTTCAGAGACTTCCAGGACATATCCCTTTTCTTGGTTTGCCATAGCCTTTTTCCCTAGAGCTAACAGTAATTAGACCATTTAGACTTATAGTAAATAGACTAATTAGAATGTTTAGGATTCTGTAAAATTATACTGATAATTCACAATTTATAATCCAGTTTTACAAATGTTTTTTCCTATGGATGTTAAGCGAACCCATTGTTCAATATGGGGAATTTTTGCTGAAAACAAGAAGTAAACGCGATCATGTAACAGGACGCTGCAGATGACCGTAAATACAGGCTGGGTGTCAGACCCCTGAAATGCAACCACATGATCTAGAGGGGGCAGTCATTGGGCTTTAGGTATCTCTGGGGGGGGGAATCTATTGTAACTATGATCAGTCACTAAGCTACCAGTTGTAAGCCAAGGACCATAACAGTAAGTATCACTAATTATTGTAGCTCTGTGTCAAGATCATGTAAAAGATCACTTCCTTTACACAATATTTATATACATTGCTCTGAAAGTAAGTTAAATGTGTCACCAAAGCAGGAACTTTTTGAACCTAAGCTGTGAGCCAAAAAGGAATTCCATATACGAAGGAGATGATTGACACTATAGGCATGTTTTTTCTTTAAATGATTTTGTAATGATTTTAGTTGAACACTTGTGAATTAAAAACTGCCATGCCTGTTTAAATGTGAAGAATTCATTATGGCTTCTTTTTATTTTTGCAGAACTACATTTCAATGAAGATTGTGAACCCCTTTTCACCTCGTTAAGGAAGACATTGTTCTTAAAGCTTGACTTTGAAACGAGGTTATACAATCTTTGGGCCAAATTGAACCATCACCTCAAATTATGAGTCTGTCTCTGATCTCCAGAGTTTTGCACCGAAAAGGATCATTTATGCAAATTCAACTACTATCCAAGATATTTTGAGAAATAACAGCCGAAAGTGACTATAATTTCTGAATTATGACTTTGATAGAAGATTATAAAATGATCTGTCTGTTTGGTTTTTAAACATTTTTCTCAATGTACCATTCATTATTTTTTTCAGTTTTACCTTCCTTTTTAAAATATACTTAATGTATTTACACTGTAATTCTGTACGTGTCTACTGGCAAGTAGTAAGCCCTTTGAGTTTCACAGGGACTGACTTCCAGGTAAGTGGAAACTTCAAAGGTTTATTTTAATTATGAGCAGTTTGAAATGGTGCCTCTTAACTTTATTCTTACAAAAGAAAAGACTATAAAATGGTTCACTAGTGGCATGAATAGGATACTATAAAAGGTCATAATAATAGCTCTAAGCTTCATTTTGCTACAGTCCTGCCTTATAAACAAAAGCAATGAAATAAAGCCAAACAAATTTTCAGTTTAGTTTTGTGGTTATTGTGCTTAGCAAAATATAGATTTGTTTTTATTTCCTATCGTTTCCCCTCAAGAGCAGAGTCTGCTTTTTTCGGAGTATTGAATATTTGGTTGTAACAGGAATTGACTGACCAGCTTGTTGCTGACATCATGGGTTGAGAGAGAGAGTTACTGGCTGAAAATCACCATAGATTGGACATGCCTCCTCTAAAGTAACCTCCTCAGAGAGTCAGAACTGCCATGACACTTGGGTCCCATTTGCGTTTGGTCCAGGTAAGGGACTGATAAATTTCACACACTACCAGCAGAGAATGATAATTTCTCTCATTATGGCTTAGAGAAAGGCAAGAAACAGCCATGAACAGCACATGTGCAAGAGTGGATTTCTAGACCTGGGGAAGAGCTAAATGTAAAGGTTTCCCCTGGTCAGTTGTATCTGACTCTAGGGGGAGGTGCTCATCTCCTTTTCTTAGCTGAGGGAACCAGCATTGTCCAAAGATGCTTTCCATGGTCATGTGAGCAGCATGACTGTATGCCGAGGCACATGGAATGCTGTTACCTTCCCACCGAAATGGTACCTATTTATCTACTTGCCCTTGCATGCTTTTGAACTGCTACATGGGCAAGTAACAGGAGCTCAACCTGTCACGGGGCGCTTGGGTCTCAAACCTGAGCTGTCAGTTTTACAGCTGACAAGCTCAGCGTGTTTAACCACTCAGCCATCACACCTGCAAGCAAGTGCCTTTAACATAGAAATACATGACCGTGGCATCTAATGCCTACCAGGTGGGAACAGAGTGGGGGGAAATTTACCTTCACCTCATCAAAAATGATGGTATAGTGACTTAGTCACCATGCTTCATCAGATTAATGTTTGGGGCTTTGGTTGTTTAGAAAGTCTCTTCCCTGCTTAAATTGAAATGAAAACAGGCCCACTGAATGTGTTGCAATAATTCAAACAGATAATAGTACACAGTCCTGTCCTAAATAGAAATCAGTATTCCACATGAAACAGGTGATTCAGGATGGGGAAGCAGGTTAGCTACACAGGACTACCTGCCCATTCTTCATATGATTCCTTTTTCTTCTACTTGTCATCAGATATGTGTTTTTTATTATACCTTTATTACTTTTATAAGTGACTCAAGGCAACAAACATACCTAATGTTCCTTCCTCCTCCACATAACCACCACCATGTGAGGTTGTTGGTTTGAGAGAGAGTGACTGGTCCTAAGTCACTGAACTGACTTTCATGCCTAAGAAGGGATTCAAACTCATGGTCTTCTAGTTTCTGGCCTGGGTGCCTTCACCACTAGACCAAACTGGCTCAGTATATTTTTCCCCATTGCTGTATTAATATATACACGATGTGGAATTAATACAGTAACTTATTCAATAAATTATGGCAGCATACTCTGAAGAGAAGGTAGCGAACCCTAATTTGTACTATCATCAGAAGATAAATTGTCTTGCAATAAAGAGTTATACCACCCCATATCCTAAAAACTCTATTTGTAAAGTAAGAGTTGTCAAAGTGCACATTTGTGGTTCATCTTACAAACAGAAATTCAAAGCATGAATGTATTTTAATACATTTAATGCGTTTTTATGGATACTGGAAATTTGCTACAGTCTCTCATGTCATCCCCATGATCTACCAATGTCTCCATGGAGACAAATAATGGCCATAATCACAAACGTCGAACAAAACTAGTTATAGAGCTGAGAACCTTCACCTTTGGTTGTTCCTAACATATGTTTATACTTAGACACGAAGCATGGTTAGCATGAAGAAAGCTAGGATTTTACAGATGGACCTTCTTTTTCATAGGAATGCAACTTGCCCAGTCATTCCCAATAGGTCAATGGCGGCTACAGAAATTAGAAAATTCTTGCTTCTCAGTGAGTCATGACAGGGCAACCTTTGAATCTGTGTAAAGCTTATAGAAATTGCTTATTTTTCACCTTGACTGGGTAAATTATAATGGTCTAAATTTGGTGAATAAACTAATGGCTATAATTCCACAAAATCATTTCCATAATGTGGAGCACATGTTAGAATGGAACAGTTTTTCTGTCAAAACATAATTGCCCTTTATTGGGAGTGGTAAGAACCAACTTGAAAAGTATGACCTAAGAGCAATAGCTCAGGGCTGGAATTAATCAGAATCCAGATGGATTGCTATTTAGTGACATATTTTGGCAGCAACTTGCTGGGATATAAGTGAACATTTGATCATTTCTCATTTAGTAAGGGTTCAGTCAGTGCCACGATTAAGCAAAGAATGAAAATCACAAATGGATGGCTTTTCATCCAAGAGCTGAAATGCAATTCTTATTAGAAAAAATATTTCCCTTAGAGAACATTGAAGAGTATCGCTTTAAGAAAATTAAAAATAGATTGTGGAGAGATCTGGACCTTCTTGTTCAATTAAATTGCAATTCTATAGAGTTAAGGTAGGCGTCTATCTTTAACTCTGCTCTTTCCACATATGATCGTGATAAGAATTAATTCTTAAATTAGTTCTTAAATCCAATGTGGTAAAAAGGAACTATGGGAAGATTAAATCAGAATAATATGAGGAAGAGACTGATCTTAAGAATTCTTTAGTGATATCCAGCATGGATAGTTGAGTGTCTGCGTGTCTCTGCTTGTGTTTGTGTATGCAAATTTCTACTGATCTTTCCCAAACAGTAGATGATAATTTCCATTACTACTATTCATTTATAATCTCTGACATTCTTTGCTTGTTCCTCTAAAATGTTCACCTCTATAATAATACAAAAGACAAATAAAGAGAGTTTGGCAACTGTTTATTGAATATAACACACTTACGTATCAATTCCCAACTCAAATTATCATTTATTTATTTATTTTAACTATGAATGTTTCATTGAATTTTACTGTTTATTGGTCTTTCTTGGCTATTCTGATGTACTTGCTCCTTTATGACAAGAAGATAAGGCTATGTAAAAATTGATGGTTATTATGAGCTCTAGGTAATAAGTAAAGAAATAGTAATCACATCTGCATGAGAATTGCCTTAATAATCAGAACTGCTTCATGCCAGGAACCAAAGTTTCTGATGGAAATATATAGATATGATTTCTTAGCATATTTGATTTTTTCCTTTCCACATAGACAAGTATTTATTCATTAAAACATTTTCCAGCTTTTCTGTCAAATTGCTCACAAGAAGGAACTTAATATTCTTTTTAAAACAATGGAACAGCCACTGAACATAGAAGTCAGAAGGCAAAAAGATTAACCCACCCAAAAGCTTTTTATTATTATCATTTTTAAAATGCCCCTGCTGCTTGGTCCAAATATATCATAGCATTTCTTCTGTCAGTCACAAGAGGTCAGTGTCTGTATTCTCTTTCTAAGTTCCCCTCATGCAAATCTTTGTACAAATGTTTAGGTAGAAAAGTGATGTGTAATGTTAGTCTTATCCTTTTACAGACCAATGGGAAAATTAAGAGAGTTATGATGTAAAGTTTCCAAAAGTACCCCAAAACGATGGTGACAATTAATATCTTTTAAATTTTAATGCAATGAGATTTAAATAATTATGAAAAATGCAATCAATATAGACTCAGCAATAGGAGGGAGGGGGGAAGGGAGGGAAGGAAGGAAGGAAGGAAGGAAGGAAGGAAGGAAGGAAGGAAGGAAGGAAGGAAGGAAGATTTATGAATAAACATTACAATCTGCCTTTACTTGTCAATTGCTTTCTATGGGTTCTCTGGTCAGTCTGCTTAGGGTTGGGAAGGATTATGGTAGGCGTTAAAAGCCATCAGATATTTAACATGAGCCTCTATCCCTAAAAATAAGCCCACAAAAGTCAATTTCTGAACATTTGATCAATGAGTATTGAGCTCAGCTATTTAGCTCATTAATTGTATCTTCTAAGATCAGCAGTTAGAGCCAGTTTGGGGTAGTGGTTAAGGCATTGAACTAGAAACTGAGAGTGAGTTGCATGACTAGCAATTTTGAAGTGATCAGAAATATTTAACTTACTCACTTTATTACTTCACATCTTTTTAACAACCTGAGCTACTATTATTCCAGAAAGCCAGTTTGGTGTAATGATTAAGGTTCAAAGCTAAAAATCTGGAGACTAGTAGGAGTTCTAGTTTTGCCTGGTGCACAAAGCCAACTGGGTGACCTTGGGCCAGTCAATTCCACTCAGCCCTCAGAAGGCAGCAGTGACAAAAACATTTCTGAATAATTTTGCCAAAAACAAACCCACAGTGACCTATGCAGACAGTCTCTTGAAAATCAGACATGATTGAAGAGAAGAAAAAATATCAGCACCTACCTGACAACAAATACATGGAGGTCAATGAACTTGAAGAACATATTCGAGTTATTTTTATTTATTTAAAGTATGGTAGGAAAAACATGCAGAGTATTTTTTTCCCTCACTGACACCTTTTCTTTGTTCTTTTTACTTACAACAATTTTGATACCATCCGTTCTAAGGAAGCTGATTAGCCTTTCTTTATCATTAATTGGAAGGGATCATGGATAAAGGAACCCCATCAGAATTTGTGCCCAATATCCAGAAACGACTTCCTCCCACCATAAATCTTAACTTTGAACTTCAGCACTTTATTTACTACACAAGGGCTTTTAAAAAAATAAAAGAAAAGGACAGGATTGAAATAATATGTTAGTTTCAAGTGTGGAACCTAGAATAACCCAAGGAAATATTTAACTTGTTTTGTTTTTCTTGGACTGGTTGACATCTTGAAACAAAATGCTAATTGCTTTGGATTCTCCCTTAAATTAAAAAAAAAATGCCCTGAAGCTTAGAGAACTACAGTTCACCCCACACCTTTCCTGCCCCCCCAAATAAAAAAATCTAAAACTTCTTTGGTGTTTTGGCAAAGAAACAGTACTTGTTTTAAATCCTGCCTCTTCTGTAGAAAACATTATATATGAAATATTCCAACTTGCATTCATCATCTTTTCAATTTAATTTCAG